GGACCGGTTATTGCCCTGTTCTTCACGACATCGATGTGTTGTAAATTTTCAAAATTTAATCTTTGAAGATACGGCAGGCTCAATATCTCTTGATGACTTGTGATATTAACTATAGTAGATACCATCTTCAGTACCATCTTCTGGTTTTTGTATATGGAATCATTAATACTGATTTCATCTTCAAACGTAATCAAATATGTACCGGTAATTATTGTTACGGTTCCTTCTGGATTTTTATAGTGGCTCTGTTGTCGTTTATTATCATGACGCCATCATCGACAATCTCCAATGGTTCAAGATGACTTGGTCTTGTGCTGCAGTGTGTTATAGTACCCGAATTAAGCTGTTGAGCACAAGTTGGTTGAGAATATTCTTGACAAAATGATGAAGTTAGCGTTGAAGTACAGTTTCCTATTGCAATTATACGATTCAGCAAGATGTAGTATTGTGCCATTATGTTGGACGGGGTGCATAATTATTTTCTTACATACTAATTTGGGCTTGGGATATTTAATAAGAAAATGCAACATTTCATTATACAGTAGGACCTTAATTAGTGATACTTCTACCAAGTCTGTTACAGTTGTATTGTTGAACTTATTTGTAATAATTCATTTACATCATCGGAATCTAATAGCGTAGGATTAATTACATCTGCTTTTACAAGAGTGATTGATAGCATTAATGTTTCGATTTCCGCAATAGTAATTCTGTTTCGAGCAAGTAGTATTTCGTATAAATACCCTGTATGAATTTGTTCAGGTTTAGCATTTCCAATAATTTTGTTGACAATATCTGTTTATTTATCTGATCCTGTGTTTTAGAGTTGATTGAAACCTGTTTGTTAATTGAATTTATAAGTTCCTTCTGTCGAAATTTCTGTTCCTCAAAGTCGTCAAAATCGGGAGTCCCCGCTATTATTTTTAGTGCTGTTTCCAAGATGTTAATACTTCTCGCGTGTCTGTGGTGAACATACAATGATTGTAGGAGGGAGCGTATTCGCTTAATATCAGACTCGAATATTTTCACCATATGCGAGGAGGGGAAATGTTTCATAAGTTTTTCAGTTTCGTCCGCAATTTTCAAATATATTGTCAGATTTGATGTATGTCGTATGTAGTCAAAGTCCTGCCAAATTATAACATCCCCATCTTCAATCGGTATGTAGTCGGAGCCAGAATAGTCAATTAATTTTGTGGTAAGGGGTCTGATAAGCAACATCATCAAAGTGCCAAAATTTGTTTAAAAGAGTTGTTAATTATAATCGGATTATACAAATTTTGAATTATCTTATGTTGTCCTTGTGGACCACCCTCCCTCTAATAAGAACCGTAGTTCCTAGATCGGCTTCTATTGTTTCTTCAGAGTATAACGGGGTCAATTTGTTTCCCAGCTTTTTGTTGTTTTTCACTAGTACGGACTCACCAACTTCAAATGTTCTATTTTGCCTGGAGGCATTGTTTCTATTTAGTACAGTCTGTTAAGCTTTTGAATTTTTTTCTTTAATTTCCTCCCTTAATTCGGATGAGGAGAATTGGAAAATATCTATCGGTCGTTTGTTGGTTATTGAGTGAATAGTCCGATTATATTTTATGGTTGCTAGTAAAATAAGGTCAACTGTGCTTTCCATTTTCTTTTCTAATTTGAGGCATCTAGCTATTTCAGAAAGTGTGCTATGAAAGCGCTCGACTTGTCCATTTGATGTTCTATGAAGCGGAGCAGCGTTTTCCACTTTAACATTAAATTGATCCCGTAACAGGGACATAATAGTCTCAGATTTTAGTGAAGGTTCGTTGTCATAGTAAATATTTTCCGTGTGTGGAAAAAGATTCATTAGTTGTATAATCGGGCCTTTTAAATCTATTATTGTACGAGATGGAATATGTTGAACAAACGCAAACTTTGAAAATTTATCGATGCATGTTTTTTATCCGTTGAAAATACATCGATATGAAGCATTTCGCCTACGTAAGATGGTGTTGAGGTTACCCCAAGTTCATGTTTCATAGGGTGTCCGTCGTATTTAGCCCTCGAACAAATTTTACAATTTGCAGCAATTTCATTTGCCAACTTTGCCATTTTTGGAAAATAATAATCAGAAAGTATCTGTTTAACATTTTCCTGAGCTGCCCTATGGGCACGTTATGTTCGATGGCAATAATTTCCCTCTGTTCATTTTTATCAAAAATGTCCTGGACAAAATTTTTGCAGTGCCAAAATTTAGTAGCGGGAAAGTATCTAACCAATTCATGCTGAATACAGGCTAAAGTTGGCAGATCGCAATGTATTGCATTTACGACATTTGGATTGATCACTGATTTTACTTCGTTTAGCAATGTTTCCCTGCTTGTGAATTCAATCATGTGTCGAGTCTTCTCAGTAAAGACAATAAAATTTCTTTTAAGTAGGAAATTTACCTCCCGAAGGACAATTTGGTTCCTGAAGCAATTGACCGGTTTTTCTGTAGACTCAATGGTATAGGTCAAAGATATTTCGCTGTGTACCGTTGCGAGATCTGAGTGATTATCCTCTTCCAAAGTATTCAAAGATTGAGGCTCGAAATGTTTTTCGGTGCACATAGATTCTACATTCAGAGTATAGATGTTCTGTCGTGAAAGGGCGTCCGCCACATAATTTTCCTTTCCAGGTTTATAAATAATTTTGGCATTATGTTCGTCAACAAATGCTGCCCACCGTTTTATCTTAGCATTCGGGTTTCTATCAGAGACTGAAAATGTAAATGGTTGGTGGTCTGTGTAAATATTTAAATATCTTACTCCATATAAAAAGTTCCTAAATTTTTGAAGAGCCCAAACAATAGCTAAGAGCTCTCGCTCATTAGTTTCATAGTTTTGCTCTTTATCTTTAAGGGTTCTGGAAATCATGGTGATTGCCCTCCCTCCTTGTGAGAGAACTGCTCTCAGACCCAATGAAGAGGCGTCTGTTGTAAGATCAAAAGGTTTTTTGAAGTCAGGATAAAGAAGCATAACTTCTTCAGAAGCAAGGATTTCCTTTAATTTTCTAAAGGTCTGCATTTGGTCTTCATTAAAATTTATTTTCACCCTTTTTGATTGAGAAGCACTAATCTTGCCGTTTTCGCCCTTTAGAATATCTGTTAGCGGCTTGGCGATAGATGCGAAATCTTTAATAAAGCATCTGTAATAACTTGCCAATCCTAGAAACGACCTTACGTTGAAGAGTGTAGATGCTAACACATACGTATCTACATACATATTTATATTTAAGTTGTAGTTTAGTTGTGACGTATTTACAGCTTTATTCTAGTTTGTTAATTCAGCATTTTCATGTAAGCCATTTATTCACGTTTATATAGGTTCAATATTTAACAATTTCATTTATTCACTTTGTATTAATAATATTTGACCTAGTTTTACTTTATGCAAGTAATCAGTTATATTAAGAAATTATTTGTATAAAAGAATGAAAATAATAAAGAGTTAATCAGTTGTCTTTTGTAAAGCGACCATAACCAATTTGGATTTATTTAATAATCATCGTCTCTCCTTCAAGTTTATGTGCTTGTAAGGAGAATTTTAAGGACTGTAAGTGTCAGTTCAAATTTATGTGTTTGAACTGAAGCCCACTAGGTCCGATTTATATTAACATTTTTTGGTGACCCCGACGTGATCGTTTACACACATCCTTTTGCCCCACAAGTGGTAAAGGATTTTGATCGTAATACGCGTTCGTTAACACACATCCTTTTGCCCCACAAGTGGTAAAGGATTTGAATCGTAATACGCGTTCGTTTACACACATCCTTTTGCCCCACAAGTGGTAAAGGATTTGGATCGTAATACGCGTTCGTTAACACACCTCCTTTTACCCCACAAGTGGTAAAGGATTTGAATCGTAATACGCGTTCGTTTACACACATTCTTTTACCCCAGAAGTGGTAAAAGAGGTTGATCGTGATACGTGTCGTTATACACGTGTCGTGATACACACGCATCTTGTACACAAATTTCTTTGGAAGAAATTTAAATATCAACAATGGCATCGCTTCAAGACCTTATAGTCCAACAATAAGTAAGGGGCAGTAATTTCGAAAAATTCATAGCGACAATTAGGAAGGCACCGCTTGAAAGAAGAACTGAGGAATTCTACATTGGCAAGCGTAAGGAGCTAGAGCAGCTTTGGCAGACGTTTGAATCGGCAGAAAACCAGATCCGCAAAGATCCATCATTGGCAGATGATGATCCGTATATAGCGGAGAATCTGCACCAGGCCATATGCGAAAAGTTCAATGCAACAGTGGACTATATAAAGGCGGAGTTGGAGAAGCTGAAGTCTGCCAAGGTCAATCCAGATAAACCCGCAAAGGCAAGATCGCCAGAAAATGATTCAGAACCCCAAGCATCAGCCCAGGTTAAGGAACCTGCGTCGGCTCAAGTTGAGGGACTGGCCCGAAGGGTTCAAGCAAAGCTGTTTCGTCCATAACATCAATGGAGAGTCACAGTAATTGCGAACTATGCAAAAATGGTCAACATCGTCTTTATCAGTTTAAGCAATTCTTGGCGATGTCGGAATCTGAAAGACTCCAATGGGTACAACAACATAAAATGTGCGTGAACTGTTTTAAGGCTGATCATATTGCGAAAAACTGCACATCTGGTAACTGTAAGAAATGTAATAATAAACACAATACGTTGTTACATTTATCACGGAGATCTCAATAATCATCAACAGGCTTAAATCAAACGTCAACCACAAGTAGCAATCATACACCAGTCAATACTGCTGTAATTTCTTCGGCATCAGCAGAAGATCAGAAGAACGTAATTCCTGCCACTGCGAGAGTCACCATAAAAGCTGCAAATGGTATGTCAAGAGAGTTCAGAGCTGTGCTTGATTCCGGTTCACAAGTAAATATTGTTACAGAACGGCTGATTAAAAGGTTATCAATTGCAACAACAGAGACCTCTTTGTCTATTGACGGAGTTGGAAAAATCCAGAAGAAGGCTTATCATCGTGTGAACATGCAAATGTTGTCTAACAATTCTGGATTTTCATCTTATTTGGAAGCATTTGTTTTACCAACGATTATACCTGCACAACCGAATCACGATTTGGACATATCTAACTGGCAGATTCCAACGAACATTAAATTGGCGGATCCAAATTTTAATGTTCAAGGAAAAATTGACATCCTACTCGGGGCGGAGTTTTACTTCAGCCTAATGCAACCGGGTACAATAAAACTGAATAATAATCAACCTATTCTGCAGAATACTGCACTTGGCTGGATTGTAGGCGGCTTAATAGAACAATCATCAACGAACGTCACATCAGCAGCGCTAACATGTGCAATTTTCGATAGTGAAACTTCACTGGCACAAGCAATTGAGAAGTTATGGAAACTCGAAGAAGTAGCATCAACAGAAAGGGTAATGTTTCCGCTGGAAACCCGGTGCGAGTCTCATTATAATCAGCATGTCCAGACGGATCAGAACGGTCGATTCATTGTTAGTCTTCCTTTCCAAGAATCTCCAACAACATTGGGAAAATCTCATGCGATGGCGTATAACCGGTTCATGAGTCTTGAACGTCGGCTTCTTCAGAAGGATGATATCCGCATGCAATACATCAAGTTCATGCAGGAATATGAAATGCTAGGACACATGCAGAAAATTGACGTGAATATAGTGTCGAACCCTAAATATTTCATTCCGTATCACTGTGTGCTTAAACCAGATAGTACCACGACAAAATTAAGGGTGGTATTTAATGCATCCGAGAAAACGTCATCGGGTCATTCGTTAAATGACTTAATGTACACAGGACCCACTGTGCAAAGTGAACTGTTCTCTATCCTGCTACGGTTCCGATTATCAAAGTTTGTCTTCACAACTGACATTGAAAAAATGTATAGACAAATCTTAATTCACCCCGATGATCAGAAATATCAACTGATCATTTGGAGGGAAGATCCATCGAACCCAGTTAGCTATTATAAGCTCAATACTGTTACATATGGAACACGTGCAGCACCGTACCTTGCCACAAAGTGTCTACAGAAAATCGCAGACGACAACTTGGATCGCTATCCCCTTGGTTCAGAAATGCTAAAAGAGAACTTTTATGTGGACGATGGTCTCGGTGGTTCTGATAGCTTAAACATAGCGATGGAGACACAAAAGAAATTGATAATCATTTTGAAAAAGCACGGCTTCAACTTAAGAAAATGGTCGTCAAACAGTCCAAGATTGCTAAAAGATATACCTTATAGTGATAGGGAAGTCAATCTAGATTTTGATGAAAGGAAAACGATAAAGACTTTGGGACTATTTTGGATGCCTCAGGCCGATCGTTTTTGCGTGAAGGCAAATATTGATCATTGTCAAGTAATAACGAAACGATCAGTTACGTCTGAGCTAGCGAAACTCTTTGATCCACTGCTTGCACCAATTGTTGTAAAAGCAAAGATGTTTATCCAGCAGCTGTGGCAACTTGCATTAGGATGGGATGAACCATTACCCGAAAAACTTTGTGCTACCTGGAAAACATTTCGAAGCGGGTTGGAAGGTCTGAACAATTTCAAAATACCACGACATGTATTCGGTGGGCAGATTCCGGCAAAGGTGCAATTACATGTGTTTGCCGATGCGTCGGAGAAAGCGTTTGGCGCTGCTGTATACATTCGCTTTGTAACAAAGGATGGTCTCGTAGCTGTACGCCTGATCTGCGCTAAATCCAGAACTGCTCCGTTGAAACAGCAAACACTTCCTCGCCTAGAGCTTTGTGCCGCAGTGGTAGCAGCTGAACTGGGTAATAGAGTAAGGATTGACTTAAAGCTTCAAAGTCATCCCATGTTTCTATGGACCGACTCGGAAATTGTCCTTGCCTGGATAAAATCCCAGTCAACCTTATATAAGACATTTGTGGCAAATAGGGTGTCAGTCATTCAAACATTGTCATTACCAGAGCAATGGAAGCACGTTCCGTCAAAGGAGAATCCTGCCGACATGCTTTCTCGAGGCCTGCAACCAGTAGACCTATATAAGAGTCGATTATGGTTTCATGGTCCAGTTTTTCTTCACGGAAAAGAGGAGTTGTGGCCTGCTAAATGTCCTTCTCAAAATGCTCTTACAAATAACATGGAGCTAAAGGTTGCCGCTACGACTGCTATAGTAACCTCTGACATCCACTTTATAGATGGAATCGATCACAAAAATTCCTTCAGGAGACTACAAAGGATTGTGTTATATGTCCTCAGATTCATAAGAAATGCGCGGATGCAAAGGTCTCAGCGGCCCAGAAGTAAGGCCCTTAACCCTGAGGAGTTAGATGACTCCCTCCGGTTAATTACTCATGCTATACAATCGGCAGAATTCGCAACAGAAATAAAAGAGTTGAAAGCTGAGAAGCAAATTAGCAAACACAGCTCTCTATGCAGCCTGTCGCCGTACTTGGATGAAGACGGTGTCCTTCGCGTAGGTGGAAGATTGGAACATTCTATGCTTCAACCGGAGGCAAAACATCCAATAATATTGCCATATAACGGTCCATTAGTAAAATTGTTGTTTACGACGATTCATGAAGAAAACAAACATTGTGGACCTCAAGCGCTGTTAAACACAATAAGACAACGATTTTGGCCAATCAGAGGGAAAATAACTGCCAGATCAACGATTCAAAAATGTATAAGGTGCACCAGAGCACGACCCCAGCTGTATCAACAAATAATGGGACAGCTGCCAGCAACAAGAATAACTCCCGCACGGCCATTTATAAACTCTGGAGTTGACTATTGTGGGCCATTTTGGATACATTACAAAGTGAGGGGTAAGCGACCAACCAAGGCTTATGTAGCTGTCTTCTGCTGCTTTGCGATAAAGGCAGTTCACCTAGAACTTGTGTCTGATTTATCCACAGAAGCTTTTATTGGCGCACTTAAACGCTTCATTGCGTGGCGTGGACACTGCCAAAACATATATTGCGACAATGCTACGAACTTCGTTGGAGCCAAGAATAATTTAGCGGAGCTATCTGAAAATATATATTCGGATAAAGCGCAAGAATCAATTATTTCAACCTCAAGCGCTAAAGGTATTCACTTTCATTTCATCCCACCAAGAGCACCGCATTTCGGAGGTTTATGGGAAGCAGCAGTGAAGTCCGCGAAACGCCTCTTGGTACGTAGCGTGTCAACGGAAAACCTAACACATGAGGAATTGGAAACGATCATAATCGAAATAGAAGCAATCCTAAATTCCCGGCCGCTCACGCCTTTGTCAAACGATCCTGATTATCTTGAAGCATTGACACCAGGACACTTTTTAATCGGGGAGGCTTTAACTGCACACGTAGACAGCAGAGCAGAATCTGTTAAGACATCCAGCACATCTCATTGGAAGCTGCTCTCACATATCAAGTAGCAGTTCTGGAGAAGATGGTCGGATGAATACCTCCACGAACTGCAACAACGGAACAAATGGAGGAGAAAGATGAACAATTTTCGGAAAGGTGATATGGTCATCATCAAGGAAGATAATTTACCACCGATGAAGTGGCCATTGGGAAGAATTCTCAATGTGTTCGCTGGTGACGATGGAGCTGTACGAGTTGCTGATGTGAAAACATCAACTGGAGTATACAAACGGGCCATTCAGAGGCTGGCTCCACTGTTTCCAGAGGAGCATAGTGAATTATCCACAGACCAGACAACGCAGGGTGACATCGGCTCTTCTAGGCAAGAGGAAGATGGGAAAGATACCATCCCGAGGAAAAGAATGAAGATCGCAAATAGCCCAATAATGCACTCTAATAGCCATTAAGCCAGAAAAGTCATACTTGGCTATAGATGCGCACAGAGACGAATACATACTTTTCCAACCTGAGGACATATCAAGATGCCTTACACCAAAGAATGACGAATACATATGTAGAAATCAGCGGTCCAAACTCTGTAGGAACGCAGTCGCCAACCCCTGTGAAGTCAATATCTTTAATAATCATTCAACTGTCAATTGCAATCTCAACAAGATTATTGGATCTACAGTATGGACCCAATTGCATCATCAAAATGGATGGATCTTCGCTACTACTGTCGATGTTGAATCTTCTATTGTATGCTGTACGGAGACAAATCTTATCATCATCAAGAATGCCGGAATAATGGAGATGGGTTCCAACTGTGTCATGAAGAACCATTTTGTTACCATACATGGACATTTTCAACCCTCAAATAGCATACACACTTCATATCTGAGATTAAAAGACATCCATTCTATAAGTCCACCACAGGAAATAGAAAAGATTTTAACGCTCACGAACACTACTTCTTACAAGGTTCATCTGGAAGTATTGGATAATATACAACGGCAGTTGAATGAATCAACTCTTAAGCATTTGCGGCAACTTATCCACTCCACCATTCTTCACCATCATGCATTTAGCTACACCTCGTTATGTTGCTGCATTATTATTCTGCTTGGTCTGCTGAGTTGGGGAATGCATTTAAGGTTCAACAAACCAGCTCAATTTACACCTACTCCAGCTGTAAGAACTCACCAATCAGCGACAAATGGCTCCGTTTCTGCTTGAACACTGTCAACGCGGCGGAGCATGTTAACACATACGTATCTACATACATATTTATATTTAAGTTGTAGTTTAGTTGTGACGTATTTACAGCTTTATTCTAGTTTGTTAATTCAGCATTTTCATGTAAGCCATTTATTCACGTTTATTTAGTTTCAATATTTAACAATTTCATTTATTCACTTTGTATTAATAATATTTGACCTAGTTTTACTTTATGCAAGTAATCAATTATATTAAGAAATTATTTGTATAAAAGAATGAAAATAATAAAGAGTTAATCAGTTGTCTTTTGTAAAGCGACCATAACCAATTTGGATTTATTTAATAATCATCGTCTTTCCTTCAAGTTTATGCGCTTGTAAGGAGAATTTTAAGGACTGTAAGTGTCACTTCAAATTTATGTGTTTGAACTGAAGCCCACTAGGTCCGATTTATATTAACAGTAGAAGGTGTTTCATAATTAAGGATGGCCTTTACTTTTTCCGGGCTCGTTCTGATGCCATTTCTGGACACAAAAAAAACCGAGGTATTCGACACTTTCCCGAAAGAAATGTGATTTTTCCCGAGAAATTTTCATATTGGCCCCGTATAATCTCTCCAGTACCCACTCAATATGTTTCACATGGTTTTCTTCGGTTTCAGAGAAAATAATGACGTCGTCGACATAAACATAGCATGACTTTCCAGTTTGCTCTCTCAGGACATCGTCGATGGCCCTTTGGAAAATGCTGGGGGCATTCTTCAGACCAAAAGGAAGACGGCAAAATTCATATTTTCCATTTCCAACTGAGAATGCAGTTTTTTCACGATCTTGTTCAGATAGTGTTATTTGATGAAAACCTGATTTAAGGTCAAGTGTCGTAAAAAATCTTGCTTTGCCAAGATTTGAGAGAATGACGGGTATTTGGGGTACTGGGTATTTGTCATCGATCGTAATGCTGTTCAGTTTCCTGAAGTCTATAACTTATAATCGTTTTTTGGAATTACCGTATTCATCCATGCCCTTTTTATTAACAACCCAAACGGGATTATTGTAGGGTGATCTGGAAGGCCGTATTATGCCGTTATGCAGAAGTTCTTTTACTTCATTGTTAACAAAATCTGCTACACCCATGGGATACGGGTATAGTTTTGTATAAACGGGATCAATAGAATTAGTTCTAATGGTAGCTACAATATTCGTATTATATGGAAGTGATTCTTTGGGGTTTGCAAAAAAACCCGAAAATTTTTTTATCACTTCCTTAAATTTTTCCGCAACGATTTGAGGTATTTTCATGTCCTCAACTTGTGTAAAATTTATATTTACGCATTTTAAAAATTGGATCTTTTCGATCCCAACTGTAGTTTTAAGTTCCCTACTTTCAAAATTCAACGTTGCACCTGTCTGTGTTAATAGATCCATGTCAATTGTACCATCAAACGTTGATAGTGATGGTAAGATAAAAAAATTACTATTGGTTTGAAAAATATTTATGGTACATTTTTCCTTAATTGCTGTGAAACCATGAATAGATTTCACTATGAACGGGTTGGCTACGGGAATAATACCTTTTAAACCTTTTATAGGTTTGATATAATTCTTCGAAGCCCCCGTATCAATAAGCAATTTTATGATTTTCCCTGCCACTTTCCTTTCTATAAATGGTAGCAGGGAGTTGTGCCTAAAAAAATTATCTGGTCAAATTCATCCCCAGCATCGATTACAATATCGTCTGCTTCGGTTTCTGTCATTTGATGGTAGTCTTGACCACATCCGGACTCATCTTGAGAAATGTGATTAATTCTCTGATGTTTTAGCCCAGTGTATTTTGCCGTACTACTGTTGGGTCTTTTCACGGCCTGCCAATTTGGTCGATTTTGGAACGGCTGTGGTAGGTTCTGATTTTGATCGTATTGATTCTGAGGTAAGCCCTGTGTAGATGGCTTGAATTTAGTTGATTGTCTGAATCGCATAGATTCATCGACCTCCATGGGTTCTATTTGATTATTTTCGTTCTTGTTTGATCGGTTTGAATTTCTTTTAGAAAAGTACGGATTTTTACTTTGAACATTTCCGTGTGCGAAATGTGTTTCATGCTTATACTTATCTCTGTCCTCGCGTGATTTAGCGAAGTTTGACGCGAATTGGTATCTTTCCCGATTTGACTAAAACTCTTGGGCCAATGCCAATGCTGATGGTAAGTCGGAAGGACGAGCGGAAAATAATACATTACTCAAATCTTTTTTTGTGTCAGAAATGAAAACGCGTAACGCATCCATTCTGTATTTTTCGTTCATACAATTTGCGACAACACTTTCATATGACATAGTGGTTTTGTTGGTATGTAATGTCAGTTTCTTTTTTACTTCATCATAGAATTCTAGTAACGTCATATTACCCAGACGAAGAGTGGACAACTCTTGCTCAATTAAGTAAATTGGACGCTTATCCGAATAAGTAAAGTCCAGTCGGGCAATAATAGCCTTAAAATTTAACACTGTATTGAATGAGGATAACACCATATCGGCTTGACCCTTTATTTTATTTCGAATTATTGCTACTGCCTGATAGTGTTTAGAGCTTCCATCGTTAGGCTCGAACAACTTATAAGCTGTATGAGCAGCCTGGCGCCATGAAACGTACGTTTCATGCTTGTCTTCAAAGTCTGGTAAGGATTTTACAACCTCTAAGAACTCATCACACCGGATTTCTTTGTTAATTTCAACATCCTTATAAGGCACAACTTCAGGAGTCGATACAGAGAATTTTTCAAGTTTATTATCAATATCGGAAATTTGTTTTTCAAATTGCTGTCTTTGATCTTTCAAAGCCGCCGAAATGGCAGAGTCAACAAGCACACCTGTGCTTTCTGCGGTAGTTGCCATTATATTATTATTGTCAGATCTTTTGTCCACAGGAATTTGATTGAAGGAATCTACTATAAATTCCACTTCTTGGTCAAGATCGCGATTATTCATTAATATCAGAAAAAAACGAACAGGCTTTTTTTTAAAAATTTCACGAATTTCGAAAAAAAGCGGAATTAATTTTAAATATTATCGAAACCAATTTTTGCTAGCAGCCACTCACTTCTTATTAAGATCTTTATGATTCACTATATAATATTTATCATACACATTTTTCCAAACACTCGATTTGTGTTATTTAATATTAATTTTAATAATAAATGTATTATTCAATATTTATTATCTTACAATTGTATAAATAGAGACTCCATTTTATGTTGTGGGTGTCCTCTCCGCTGATGATGTTGTCGCCGTTGTTGTCCTCTTCTGTTTCTTATTACTACGCAGCCCAGACTGATTTCGAAGCCTGGTGACGCACCTTCTTTCCAAGTTTTCACTTAATGTTTTAAGTTTTTTATAAACTTATTATTTTAAAAAAAAGCCTGTTCGTTTTTTTTCTGATATTAATGAATAATCGCGATCTTGACCAAGAAGTAGAATTTATAGTAGATTCCTTCAATCAAATTCCTGTGGACAAAAGATCTGACAATAATAATATAATGGCAACTACCGCAGAAAGCACACGTGTGCTTGTTGACTCTGCCATTTCGGCGGCTTTGAAAGATCAAAGACAGCAATTTGAAAAACAAATTTCCGATATTGATAATAAACTTGAAAAATTCTCTGTATCGACTCCTGAAGTTGTGCCTTATAAGGATGTTGAAATTAACAAAGAAATCCGGTGTGATGAGTTCTTAGAGGTTGTAAAATCCTTACCAGACTTTGAAGACAAGCATGAAACGTACGTTTCATGGCGCCAGGCTGCTCATACAGCTTATAAGTTGTTCGAGCCTAACGATGGAAGCTCTAAACACTATCAGGCAGTAGCAATAATTCGAAATAAAATAAAGGGTCAAGCCGATATGGTGTTATCCTCATTCAATACAGTGTTAAATTTTAAGGCTATTATTGCCCGACTGGACTTTACTTATTCGGATAAGCGTCCAATTTACTTAATTGAGCAAGAGTTGTCCACTCTTCGTCTGGGTAATATGACGTTACTAGAATTCTATGATGAAGTAAAAAAGAAACTGACATTACATACCAACAAAACCACTATGTCATATGAAAGTGTTGTCGCAAATTGTATGAACGAAAAATACAGAATGGATGCGTTACGCGTTTTCATTTCTGACACAAAAAAAGATTTGAGTAATGTATTATTTTCCGCTCGTCCTTCCGACTTACCATCAGCATTGGCATTGGCCCAAGAGTTTTAGTCAAATCGGGAAAGATACCAATTCGCGTCAAACTTCGCTAAATCACGCGAGGACAGAGATAAGTATAAGCATGAAACACATTTCGCACACGGAAATGTTCAAAGTAAAAATCCGTACTTTTCTAAAAGAAATTCAAACCGATCAAACAAGAACGAAAATAATCAAATAGAACCCATGGAGGTCGATGAATCTATGCGATTCAGACAATCAACTAAATTCAAGCCATCTACACAGGGCTTACCTCAGAATCAATACGATCAAAATCAGAACCTACCACAGCCGTTCCAAAATCGACCAAATTGGCAGGCCGTGAAAAGACCCAACAGTAGTACGGCAAAATACACTGGGCTAAAACATCAGAGAATTAATCACATTTCTCAAGATGAGTCCGGATGTGGTCAAGACTACCATCAAATGACAGAAACCGAAGCAGACGATATTGTAATCGATGCTGGGGATGAATTTGACCAGATTAATTTTTTAGGCACAACTCCCTGCTACCATTTATAGAAAGGAAAGTGGCAGGGAAAATCATAAAATTGCTTATTGATACGGGGGCTTCGAAGAATTATATCAAATCTATAAAAGGTTTAAAAGGTATTATTCCCGTAGCCAACCCGTTCATAGTGAAATCTATTCATGGTTTCACAGCAATTAAGGAAAAATGTACCATAAATATTTTTCAAACCAATAGTAATTTTTTTATCTTACCATCACTATCAACGTTTGATGGTACAATTGACATGGATCTATTAACACAGACAGGTGCAA